TCTTTGAAAAGAGAACACACTTTTTTCTTGTACTTGTGCTTTTTTATAAAGAGATTTTTGAAAGACACCGAGATCAAAGAATACGGTTCATCTGGATGTATCTATTTTATGTACATCTAATGAAATATTGTATAATTTGTAAATGTGCATATACTATGATAATGTGCAAAGAATAGGAATTACGGTGTCAACGTTCGTATAATGAGTATTATATATGTGCATGCTCTAGAATAATAATTATTCCTTTCGTCTCAATTTAAATTTTCTGCTTTAGTTTACGATGTTTGACCGAAATTATTTTCAAATTATTTTATATGAAAATGGTGTAAACATAAAAAAAATTATGTATTTAAAAACCACATCAAAAGATTTACAAAACTAGTAGTGATATGACTATATTATTTTATCAAGTGACTAGTGAAAATCGAGAAAGAAAGTAAATAAAGTTTGATCATGTGAATAATAAACAAAGAATTTAATTTAGGATGGGGGAGTATATAATATTCATTGTTGCTAAAAATAAAAATTTGGCATAGATCTTTTGATATTGGTCATAAGTGTCATAATATGATACTCCGTATGAGAAACTTAAAGTGCCAATGATCATAAATTGATGGTCATTATCCCTAATTCTCTTGTCCCCCACTCCAATATTCTTGCGTCCACCCATAATTGCCGATTTGGCAGTCAATGGGGTAGAAGATGTTGGGTTGAGAGACAAGGTTATAGGATACAAACTACTCGTATATATTTATTTACCTAATATTGTAAGTGCCTATGTCATATAATGAAGAACTAATGTCAAAAGAATCCTTTCATTAAAAATATATTTGGTCTGTTCTAAAATGATCCTTTTATACATTGTAAATTTTGATCTCGATACGTGGAATAAATACATTGTGTTTTGATACAAATGTAATATCAATAATTTCGTTTTGAAAGGCAACTTTGAAAGAGTATTAAATTTTTATAAAATATATCTATGTATAAATTTAGATAATACTCCCGTCCAAAAGCTATCTTCTCGTTGCGCATTATGATGTCTGGTTGAAATTATTTTAAATCATTTTATATCGGAATTAAAAATAAGAGATATATATTTAACATCTGTATCAAAAGATTTACAAAAACAAGAGGTGACATAACATTATTATTTTATTAAATGAATAATAAAAATAAGCTACTAAAATTTATTAAGTTTGATTAGGGTAATATTGAGAGAAAATGATAAATTTTGGGCCAGGGGTAATGATTAATGGGAAATCTTACGGGACAGGGTTTACAAATAAAATCGTAATTTGACTTTTTCTTAGAAAGAAAAGTTGTACTGCCATAGTTTTACCTCGAGTAGGACTGTAGGAGTAGAAGGCCGGTGGTGATGGAATTCTTCTTCACGAGTCTGCAAGTCTCCTTTTTCACATTGACTTTGGATGCTTCTCAAAACCAAAGATTCTTTGGATATTCGCCGCCTTATCCGGCAATGGCCGCCGTTCATCGTCATACTGTTATGCTATAAATAGTTCATCAAATCCACTGTATGTAAGGCACACAATCACGCACACACGCGAACGCATAGAACACAGATTTTAAGATATGGATGCGCCATTATCGAGACTCCGCTGCGTGACCTCAGCTTTTCTGGGGTTGGTGACGATGATGGTTCTCTGCGCTCCGGTTCTATGCGGCGGCGCCAGAATCACCAGCAGCTTCGTCCGGAAGGTCGAGAAATCGGTGGATATGCCTCTCCACAGCGACGTCTTCCGTGTCCCGTCCGGATACAATGCACCTCAACAGGTCTGTACTCGATGGATCTCTTCTTTCCCGCCAATCTTCCTTTCTCAGTTTTTATTTTTCTCTTTTCAGCAGTTTTTGTTTAGGGATTGATTTTCAATAAGTAGTATTCAGCATTAGAAAAATTAGAATAAGAACAATAGATTAACAAGTTGAACAAGATAATGATAATGATAATCTATTAGATATTTTGGTGTGGTTTAATTCTAAAGTTGAACTAGACAATAGATTAAAATAATGCACATTGAAGAAATACATAAGTTGAGAATACAAACTATTGAAATAAGGTCATTGGTCTAACACCTCTATCATGTTTAAATTTTAGAATGGATATCCAATTTGAAGATCTGTTTAGTTGTGTTAAGCTATTTAATCAAGATTGTCTGCTCAATTTTGAACTGTTTATTGCTTGCTGATATGATGTGCTTTGCGAAAAGGTTCATATCACGCAAGGTGATCATGAGGGGAAAGCAATGATTGTGTCCTGGGTCACTGTGGATGAACCCGGATCCAATACTGTGCTGTACTGGAGTGAGAATGGCCACAAGAAGAAAGAGGCCAAAGGCAAAATGAATACATATAAATTCTCCAATTATACTTCTGGTTACATTCACCACTGCACCATTAGGAATCTCGAGGTGTGTATTCCCATTTGTTTCTACTTTTCTTCAGATGCATTGCTGGGTGTATTGTTTTGATTCCTTCTTTATTTTGCAGTACAATACAAAATACTACTATGAGGTGGGGATTGGACACACAAGGCGAACCTTCTGGTTTGTGACTCCTCCCGAAGTTGGGCCTGATGTTCCATATACTTTTGGACTTATTGGTAAACCACTCTCTTACTAGATTCTTGATGGGAATTGTTTACTCTTGCCAAGTCTGTTAAGGATTTTGTAGAATGTCCTTTTTCAAATGTCTAATCTCGGTGTTTGGTAAATGAACCTCTCAAATTGGAGAAAGTTGGTCAAGACTAATATCAATGGTGTAAACAGCTAATTGCCATACATGGGCTTTATGCAATGCAGGGGATCTTGGGCAGACTTTTGACTCAAACTCAACACTCACACATTATGAATCAAACCCAACCAAGGGGCAAGCGGTTCTGTTTGTCGGTGATCTATCTTATGCAGATAGCTACCCAAACCACGACAATGTACGATGGGATACGTGGGGCAGGTTTGTCGAGAGAAGCACTGCGTATCAACCTTGGATTTGGACTGCAGGAAATCACGAGATTGATTTCGCCCCTGAAATCGTAAACAACTATCTGAAAATCCAAACACTCCTTTTTGCTCCTTTGTATATTAGAGTATCTCTTCATTTATAAACTATGAACCTCTTGCAGGGAGAAACAAAACCCTTTAAGCCATATACCCATCGATATCGCATTCCTTATAGATCATCAGGCAGTACATCTCCTTTATGGTATTCAATCAAGAGAGCTTCTGCACATATCATAGTTCTGTCTTCTTATTCGGCATATGGTAATACCATGGGAATTGGAAAAAGTCCCTTTTTTTTACCATGGCATTCTCATTTTATTTATGGAACCTTTTCATGATCTTGAGTTTATTACTATTATTATTATTATAGGCAAATACACCCCTCAATACCAATGGCTTGAAGAGGAGCTGCCAAAAGTGAACAGGAGTGAGACACCATGGTTGATTGTTCTGGTGCATTCTCCATGGTACAACAGCTATAACTATCACTACATGGAAGGAGAGACCATGAGAGTAATGTACGAGCCGTGGTTCGTTCAGTTCAAAGTTGACCTTGTTTTTGCAGGTCACGTCCATGCTTATGAACGCTCGGTAAGTTGTATCCCGGAAACCTACCCCTAACAACATTGTAGAAATAACTGCTAGTCCTGTTTTTTTACTGCTGCACTATATCCTTTTTTGATGGTGTTGGACTGCTGGTTGCAGGAGAGAATATCCAATGTTGGGTACAACATTCTGAATGGGAAATGCACGCCAATACGTGACCAATCTGCCCCTGTATACATCACGATTGGCGATGGAGGAAATCTTGAAGGCTTAGCCACCAAGTGAGACATCTCACCCATACATTCTATTTTTAGGAATATACTGTAATTAGTAGTAAGTTTGTTTAGAAGTTTGTAATGCACTGATCTGATGCATTTGCATTTTGCAGCATGAGTGAACCACAGCCAGAGTACTCGGCTTTTCGGGAGGCAAGTTTTGGGCACGCCACTCTAGAGATACACAACAGGACCCACGCGTACTACAGCTGGCACCGGAATCATGATGGGTTTGCTGTAACTGCCGATTCAATGTGGGTTTCGAATCGGGTTTGGCATCCAGTTGATGATTCTACCACCATCAAAATGTGATTGATTGATTGATTCCACCCACACTTTTCTTTGTGTTTGATTCAATGACACTGAACCTTGGATTCAAACTTCTTAGATTATCCTAGAGAAACTTGAATCAGTGACTAGTTTTATCACGATTATGCCAATTACCAATAATATCTTAGTTAAGGAAATGTTCTTTTAAGTTGTGTCTATTTTTATGCAGTGCACTTTCAAATACCGGAGTAATAATGCCGAGTATTTAGGGAGTTTATGTATATTATAAATACGCATTGTTAATTAACAAAATCCAATAATTTGCTACAAATATTTTATACTCCGTAAGATAAATCTCATTGAAAAAATTTGTACTAATATATAATGTGATCTGTATTTAATTAATGATTAATATCTATCTATGTTGACTGCAAAATATCAAATTGGACAAAGACACTAATATGCTTTTTTATAACAAAAATGAGTGTAAAAAAAGTATAAACATGTTAAAGTACATGAAATGAGTACTCAGTAATACTTACAAAGGTCATCCTAAAGAATCACAAAAAATTCATGAGTAATTTTGTTAATGACAATTTATGAATGTACATCCTAATGTATTCATATATTTTATGTGTTAATTGCAAAACTCATAACTAAATGAAAAAATATACTATGTCTCCAATAGTGTCGAGATTTCTCTTATTCTTTTGTCCTAAGTTAAAAGAGGTGTTAGAAAAATGAAATAAACATTATTAAGATTTGTTTAAAAAGTTTTTAAAGGAAATATTTTGGATTGAAAAATGAAAAAAATACGGAGTATATTGGAAAAGTTTTTTTTTAAAGGAAGAAGGTAGAGTATTAAATAAGGCAGTCCTTTAAAGAAAGTTGACCTTAGTGGCCGGCCATTGAGCGAGAGCATTGCCACCAAGTTTTAAAAGGGCGGCCGCGCCGGAGTACCTAACCAGAGCCTCACGCACACGGTGGTTCCGCTCCCTTGCGGCGATTTTTTGAATCAATCCTCCAAGATTCCCCCGCCATCTTTCTCTATTTTGCACGCAACATCCTTCTCTCTTTCTTCCTCCATCTCTCTCTCTCTCTCCTCTACTCTCACATGGCTTCCGAGGAACAGATGTGTGCAATCAAGGTATATATGTACTTACGACTCGTTATTAGAGGTCTACTAAGCCCGGTTCTTTGCTGCAGTCGAACTATGAGTTTCTCCGGCAACTGATGTGACTATTTGACTGTGTTTAGGGCGCTAAAGTACTCATGGTTGGTGCCGGTGGTATTGGCTGTGAGCTTCTGAAAACCCTTGCCCTTTCTGGCTTTCAAGACATTCACATTGTGAGTTGAATTCTTTCCGCCTCTATTTTGGGGTGCAATTTTAGGGTTTATGGCCGATTTCTGATGCTTTATGAATATAGTCGTTACTCATTTGTTGTTGAGTGAACTCAGTTGCTATCGTTTTTGGGTTGTTCTTTGACTAAGTTTGGGAGATTCTATAACCCAAGAATCATGGATTCTGCCAGCTTTTTGTATTGAATTGTAGTTGTGTGAGAGTTAATTAGTTTGGAAAATCATTTAGTTATAGTCTAAAGATTTAGAAGACAGGTGAGTTATAGTATGCTGATTATTCTCATTAAGTTATGCTTGATAGAAGTTGGTAATAGAGCTTTACTATTTGCTGTATTTTCTTTGTATGTATAGCTGTGTGACCAAAGTGAAAATTGGGCCCATAGTTGATGTTCCATTGCTTTGTTTGACACTTTAAGTGTCTGGAAGGCTTCCATGTATGATTTCATATTGAAGAATGAAGAGATATATTATTAACTATTATTGAAAGAATATTTATGTAATACTTTATACCTTGGCACATGTGATATACTCTGTAAGTGATTAAATGATTTTTTCTTTCCTTTGTATTGTTTCGATTTTACTTTTGTTATCTGGAGTGTTTTATTTTGCACTGCTTCTTGTACTATGCAGATTGACATGGACACCATAGAAGTGAGTAACTTGAACAGACAGTTTTTATTCCGACAATCACATGTCGGGCAATCTAAGGCCAAAGTGAGTTTCTTAGTCCATATCTTAATTTGGTCATTCGAATTCCTAGTTAATGATGTTTTCCAAAATTTCACCAGGTTGCCAGGGAAGCTGTCTTAAAATTTAGGCCTGGAATAAAAATTACACCTTACCATGCCAATGTTAAGGATTCCAACTTCAATGTGGATTTCTTTAAGCAATTTAATGTTGTTCTAAATGGGCTTGACAATTTAGATGCTAGGCGACATGTGAACCGCCTTTGCTTGGCAGCAGGTGTTCCATTGGTGGAGAGCGGGACAACTGGTTTCCTTGGACAAGTATTGCTTCCCTAATAAATTTTTCATTATTGTTTCACGCTTTGAGAACTTATTTTAAGTTGGCCTATATGGGAGCTGCATCAGTTTCATGGCCAATGACCAACATAACTTTCTGCTTATGATAAGATTGAATTTCTGTGTAAATAGGAAAGTCGCTCTAATGTTTTGAACCTGTCTTGGTAACCAGATTAAAGAAATTTAGAGACTATTTTCCCATTAACACTTTATTATTTTAATAAGCTCAAAATGTCTTCCAAGGATCTGGCATTCACCTATATTTTGAAAAGTGCTTTCAGCTTTTTAAATCTTGTAGCTTATGATTACCTTAAGGACTCCTGATAAAAAGTTACAAACCCATCCGAAAACACTAAAAAGTAAACATACCTGCATAAGTGTATTAGCTATCCATCCCTATCTGCTTGTGTCAGTAATATACAAGTACTAAGTATGCTTCTTTTCCCTTTATTCCTGACAGGTCACTGTGCATGTGAAGGGAAAAACTGAATGCTATGAATGTCAGCCTAAACCAGCTCCTAAAAGTTACCCGGTGTGCACAATTACAAGTACTCCTTCAAAGGTAGAAAACATGTCTACAGAGATGGATTATTGTGTTTTACTAAAGGAAGCTAGGTTCTTATGAGAAAATCAGTGTGTTTGTGCAAATACTGTGTGACAATGATTCCATAGCTGGAACAGTTTGAGATCATTTTATTGGTTTAGCTATTACTCCGTACTATTTTCTGTTGCATGTCTAGTACTCTGTTCTTAACATGAAGCCTCCATTCCATAGCTTGATTGTAAATGGTTTGCTCTTATAAAACTTGCTTTGACACAATTTCTGACATTTTCAGTTTGTTCACTGTGTTGTATGGGCAAAAGACCTGCTCTTTACCAAGCTTTTTGGGGATAAGAATCAGGCCAATGATCTAAATGTTCGTACTAATGATTCCTCTAGTTCATCAGCAAATGAAGATGTTTTTGTGCGTAGAGAAGATGAAGAAACAGAAGACTATGGGAGAAGAATATATGATCATGTTTTCGGCTATAACATTGATGTAGCATTGTCAAATGAGGAAACATGGAAGAATCGCAACAAGCCTCGACCTATACGCATCAAAGATGTACTGCCATTGGATGAGATTCGGCAAAACGGAAATGAAAAGAAGAATTCAAAACCCAGCGATCCCTCTTCAATTTCTGCAATGACACCACTGGGTCTTAAAAATCCTCAGGAGATTTGGAGCCTGAAAGAAAACACTTTAGTATTTCTAGATGCACTAAAACTATTTTTCTCAGAAAGGATCAAGGTTTGACACGACCCTATGTTTTTGTATGCTTATTTTTTTATTAGTTTATTGCACATTTATGTAGTTATGTTACAGGATTCATTAATAGTCTCTGCTATACTTCTTCAGGATATTGGTAACTTGAATTTTGACAAAGATGATCAGTTGGCTGTGGAATTTATTGCTGCTGCTGCTAATATTAGGGCATCTTCCTTTGGTATCCCGTTACATAGCCTTTTTGAAGCAAAAGGTATTGCTGGCAATATTGTTCATGCTGTTGCTACAACGAATGCTATTATTTCTGGGTTGATTGTGATTGAGGCAATTAAGGTGCTGCAAAATGACATAAAGAACTATAGGTGAGTTGTTGTCTTTCTTATTTTGTATGTTGACAAGTGATTAGTTGAGTCAAAATTTCTTCATAAGCCAACCTAAATTACTCTTCTTTCTTTACTCCATGTCTGTAAGACTGTTAATTGTGACATAATGGTAGTTATTACTCTATTCTTTTAATTTTTTTAGCTTAATGATCTGATTCAATGTGCAGGATGACCTATTGTCTTGAACATCCTTCCAAAAAAATGCTTCTTATGCCAGTCGAGCCATTTGAACCCAACAAAACTTGCTATGTGTGTTCTGAGGTACAAATGTGAAGTTACTCTGCAATACTTGTTTGTTTATATATTGGAATATGACTGGTGAATATGTTTTTTTACATTCACTGTATTCAAATGATTGAATCCTGTGTATTAACAGACACCTTTGACACTTGAGATCAACACTCATTCTGCAAAGTTGAGAGATTTTGTTGAGAAGATTGTAAGAGCAAAGCTAGGGATGAATTTGCCTTTGATAATGCGAGGTGCAGCACTTCTTTATGAAGTGGGAGACGATCTTGAGGAAGACGAGGTTGCAATCTATGCTGCAAACCTTGACAAGGTATGACCCTTGTTCTCACCATCTCTCACGTTGTCTCTGGGTGCTCTCATTATGTGTTCATCCATAGTTGAATGGTTATATTCATATTTTTTTATTTTTATTAGGTGCTATGTGAACTTCCATCTCCCATTACTGGTGGTACCAGTGTTACAGTTGAGGATCTTCAACAGGAGCTTATCTGCAATATCATCATCAATCATAGGTTTGTTGCATCTTTTATTGTGATATACTTGTTCAGTTCTAGTTGGTGGACCAATTTAAAAGGCATTATGCATGCATTTGTGATATGAGTGAATAGTAAAGTGTCCTTTCATTCATGCTCTCTTCAATTAAACATTTTGAAGGCTGAGTTTAGGGGAAAAAGATTTTCAGACACATTTCCTATTTTGGAATATCAACAATGGTAGGGAAAGGATGAAAAAAATGGCCAAGGAAATATAATAAAATGAGTTCGAAGTACAAATATCTAAATTTGATTTATCGAGTTTGCTCCAATTTTTATTTATTTATTTTCCACCTTAAAAAATTTTTTACTCTTCAAATATCTGCCCTATTCTTTCCTTGGCATATTCCGGCTTCCAAACAACCCCTGATGCATTTCTTTCTAAAAAAGAGACTAAACTCAAGTTACTGAGTCTCACCTTCTATCTCTTCCATTCATAATTCAAGGGAAGAGTTTGATGAGGAGAAGGAACCTGAAGGCATGGTTCTATCTGGATGGACTCCAACTTTGACTACAGAAGAAAATAAGAACAAGAGTCCACATGACAATGGTGCAAGCTCATCATCAACCACTGCTCAAACCTCTATACCTCTGAAAACCAATGGGGATGGTGATGACGACTTTGAAATCCTTCCTTCCGGAAAGAAAAGGAAGTTTCATGAGACTCGCGGTGAGAAGGGGGCCGAGAGGAACACAGAAGAACTTGATGACGACGGGGATGGGTTCGTCATGCTTGATGGAAAATCTGACAGCGGCAAGAAACAGAGGGTGGAATTGTGATGCTGCAGTTTGGAGATTCTGCCTCTACTCTTATTGTATCTTATATACATTACATAGGAGCAGAATTTAGTGATTGGCTTTTCTTTTTGACACCCAAGTTAATCATTAGGTCATGTGCCATTCAATTTTAGGGCTGCTCAGATTTTGTTCCCTAATCATCATTTTAACATGCTTCAAGTAACTGCCTCCAAAAAATTGTACTCTTTGCCTTTGTAAAGATTTGCAAATTCTGACATGTTAGTGTTTTTTGTCATCTGCTTAGCATTTTTGTTCAACCTTGTTTGGGTAACATTTCTTAGAATGATGATAACTCTCTTTCAGTACTAAAAATTGTCACTGAGAAGTCAAACGTGCTGACTAATTTGAGACAGAGGTAGTATTACAAAAATGTTACAAATTGAAGCTAATGCTAACCAATTAGAGTGAAAATACAAAAACACTCGAAAATACGAAGTGTTAGTTAAATCTATAGTTAGCCAACTAACAGTTGTCATATTCAGACCGACCGTTACAGTTGGCCGGGGAAAGCACGGCGGGGGAATTGGGGGCGGCGAAAGACTTGTTTTCATCATCGGCCTTTCCTTGCGAAGAAGAAGAAGAAGAAGAAGCCTCTTGAAGCTGCAATGCATACTCCAGATTCCACAGCACATCTCCCATACTCGGCCTGTCAACGCCGTGCTCAGCCAAGCACTTCTCCGCCGCCTCTGCAAACTTCTTCATTGATTCCGGGTTGATGTTTTGCCCGGCAAGGTTCGGGTCGACGATCTTCTCCAGCAGCCCTCTCCTCTTCCTCTGCAGCGCCCACTCGGCCAGGTTCGTCTGGTCCATGGGCAACTGCAGGTCGATGGCGGGCCGCCCGCACAACGCCTCGAGAAGCACCACGCCGAACGAGTAAACGTCCGATTTCTCCGTGAGCCGCTGCTTCCGGAAGTACTCCGGGTCGAGGTAGCCGAAGCTGCCCTTCACCGCCGTGCTGACGTGAGTCTGGTCCTCCGCGTGGCCCCCGCCGGTGCTTTTAGAGAGCCCGAAATCGGCCACCTTTGCCACAAACTCATCGTCAAGCAAGATGTTGGTGCTCTTGACGTCGCGGTGGATGATCCCCTGGGACGCACCAGTGTGGAGGTAGTGGAGCCCCCTCGCCGCCCCGATACAGATCTCCAGCCGCTGTTTCCATGGAGGAGGATGGGCCCGCTGCCGCCCGTAAAGGTGGTCCCGCAGCGGGCCGTTGGCCATGTATTCGTACACCAGAATCATCTCCTTGTTCTCGTCACAGTACCCAATCAGAGACACCAAATGCCTGTGTCTGAGTTTGGACAGCATCTGGATTTCAGTGTGGAATTCATGGACGCCCTGTTTGGATTCCGGGATCCCCCGTTTCACGGCCACTTTGATTCCGCCGTCGATTTCTCCTAAATACACGTTCCCGAAGCCTCCTATTCCAATTATCTTACTCGCTTCCCAATTGCTCGTCGCTTCCTGCAATTTCGCGAGGGAGAAGCATCTACCGAATTCGGCGGCAGTGGGAATTATCACGGCAGGAGGCTTGTTGTTGTTGTTGGTCACGGGATTCGAGTCTCCGGCGCTGTGAAGGGGAAGCAACCACGACGAGAAGCTGCTCTTCGTCCCCAAATCGCGCGGCCTCTTTCGCAATTTCACGGCGACGGCTCCTAACCCTACAAACGCGCCGAACATCACCGCGATCCCGACGGTCGCTGCGGTTTGGCGGCCGCTGGCACCGTCCGCCTCGTCCCCCACTCTCCGTCCGTCCACGCCGTACTCTCCGCCCAAGCTCCCCACCGAATTGTTCAGCTTGAACACCTCGAGACCATTGAGGATGGCGTTTCTTATCCCCTGGGCATCGTCGACCGGAGACACTTTGATTTGAAGCGGAGTAGAGACCATGGAGGAATTCACCACGATGTCTTTGTAGAAAGCCGTGGCGAGCTTTCCCGTCAATGCCGACAGATCCAAACCGGAGATGGCCACATTGTCATTGATATACACATTGAAGTACAGTTCGTTGAGAGACTTGCTCACGATGTCGCAGAAATGGAGGCGAACCAGGTAGGAGAAATGGACGTTGACGTCCAATTTCCAGGTGATGTTGAAATTCGGCTGCACGACTTTGGAGTCTCCTAGCTCCTCCGCGGATGAATAAACCAGCGGCGGAGCAATCAGCGGCGATCCGCCGCCACCGCCACTTCTGGTGGGGTAAGAGATAGCCACAGCAGAGACCGAAGAAACCTTACCCATTTCCTTGGGCTCAAGATAACCGTGATCAGGCTCCCATTTTCTTCCCAAGGTATCATTCTGTCGTTCAAGCAGAGGGCCACCCACATTGAGCCTGTAAACTGTCTCAAAGCTGTCTCCTGAAAGCTCGTAAGGCTGCGAGACGGGGAAGAGAAGGGTGGCGCTGTCCTCGATCAGCTCCTCCGGGGCGGAAATGAACTCTATCGCATTAATGAAAGCCACGTTGCCCTTGGGCTTGAACGTCAACGAGTAACGCTCGGTTGTCACATTTACCAAAAACTCCTTCACGATCGTGCCGGCGTTGTTCTTCGGGAGCTGAAATTGGTGGAGGAGGACGAGACGGTCCGTCTCCACCGAGAACCTCGCCGCCCCGAGGTCGTACGAGGTCGTGTTGAGGGCGTGGAAATGGAGGCGGATCCAATGCCATCCGGGGGAGGTGACGGGGAACGTGTAGGTGGCGTCTTTGGCAAAAACCCTCGCGGTGCGGTGGATGGGAGAGACATTGTGGAGGGAAAGCTGGACGATTTTTCCGGCATAGGAGAGGTATTCTGTGGTGGAATTGTCCGGCTGGAAGGTTCTGTTTCCGGGGAGGGTGGAGGAGGAGTTGGAGCCGCAGTCGAGGAGAAAGTTGTCTTCAGGGGCAAAACTCACGAAAGGTTCGATGTAAGACGAAGAAGAAGGCAAAGAAGAAGAAGAGACGGCAGGAAGGACTGCAGCGGGTTGTGCATAGGCAACGGAAACCAGGAGGAATAACAGAACCTCAAGGGTAGCCATCAATCAGAAGATGCATGCAGGCAATGATGGAATACCCTTTTCCATCTTCCCTCCAAGAATTTAGGACGATTCTGAAAGGAAGAAGACGCAGAAAAGAGGGCTTGAAACCTCTTTCTTTAAGATGGATGCCATTGATGAATGATTGCTAGAGCTCTTGATTTCCATGCCACTTTTGTTGGGAGGGAGAGATTCCCGTTCATATTTTCCTTTATCCTGCTCTTCGTACCATCCTGATTATAATAAAATGAAATTATTTCTGTTACAAAAAAGAGAAAGAGAGAGACACTTGGCAGTTAGCAAACAGTTTTAACGTTTCAAAAGAGAGAAAACCATTTGGCACTAATAATATGAATCAAATTGATTGATTATAAGAAGGAATACACGTAATTTTTTTAAAAAAATGCAGATACAAATGGAAGGTCCCGGAAACGAGCAGGCAGGCGGTCTTAATTCTTAAACAATAAATAAATTTATTAGCTGAATCTGAAATGTGAAATCTCATCTACTATTCAGTGCCATTGTAGGGAGTCCAGTGCTTCTTGATGAACTCGGTCGTCACCAGCTGCCAACATGTTGAAGCCTGATGAGAATACCAAGAGGCAGCAACCATTAGTACACAACTTATTGAGGGGACGGCTAAATACATTACGTAGTAATATAGTAAGCGAGAGAGGGGTAGGCATACTTGTGGCTGGTGATCCCAAGGACGCCTCCCAATTAAGTTGGCGACCTTCCCAGTCTGTGATAACTCCGCCAGCACCTTCTATCACTGGTATCAGTGCCAAGAAATCATATGGCTGTAAGAACATTTCACAACCTCATTAGTGGATGTCAATATTTTGATCCTCACTGGTCCGACTAAAAACAAAAATCAGAGAATCAAAAGGAGCTATCAACTTGAGCAGTTAAGAGTCATGGAAATTTAAGGTAATTATGGAATGGTCACATATCAATCGCAATCAAAGACTCTTGATATGGGATATTATTACCTTCACTCCATAATCGATCACAAGATCCACGAAACCAGAGGCCAGAAGTGCATAGGCATAGCAATCACATCCGTATAGTGGCACTTTCACCTGCATAGTGTACGTTTGATTCAAAATTGTTACATTTCGAATGAAAAGAAAAAGAAATAAGGTGAAGCTGTCATATTCCTCTTTCCAGCCTCTATGGTTTTCCTTTCTCCACATAAGAGTTCTCTTACTTCATTTAGTTCCCCTTCTGGAAATTTTATAAAAGAACTTATGTGGTTCACAAAAAGACCTCAACTTTTTTGTCAAAAGAAAAAAAATGCAGACATGCCTTACTTGTAAGCCGAGCAAAGGCAACCTCGGCCTCTCCATAAAACAGATGTGGGCTGGTTGAATACCTGGAATGAAAAGGAGACCAAGAGGTGAATGAGAAAGAGAGAGATGGAAATTCCAGCTTCATTATGTGTTAAGATATGACTTAACGGGTATCGCTTCGAGCCGATACACACTCCAGCAATGAGATTAAAGTAGATAATTTGCCAACAGGAAAGCTGGTTGACGCAGCCTTTGTGCAAGATTGGAAGGGAGTTCTGTTTGGGTTTTAATTCTCTACCATTTATGAAGGAAAAAACATATATAAATAGGCAGCAGAAAGGGTATTGCTCACGCAGGAGCTGCTGCTAACATCCATATTCCCCACTAAGCTAGAAAAAAGGAAACTAACTACCCTCTACCCGTAAGAAAAGGTCAAGCTGCTAACAGAATGGAATCAGTCAACAAAATCAATGAAATGAACCAACAAAAATAACAATGAATAAAAGTAAAACTGTAAATAACTTAGAATAATATTCTA